AATATGGGCAAGAGCGATGGCAACGCCGAGCTACAGCCGAGGCATTTGCGCGATCTACAGGCTGAGCGCAATCAGAGTCAGCTGCGCTTTCAGGACTATCTCCGATGACGCGGCGCTCGTCATAGCCGGTATGGTGCCACTGGAGTATTTGGTCGCCGAAGCCGTGGAGCGGAATTCGCACGGGCCTACGCGACTCAATGCTGTCAGGGCGAACAGCATCGCACGATGGCAAAGAAGGTGGAATAGCTCAGCTAAAGGGCGGTGGACGCACAAGCTCATCCCGGAGCTTGAACCATGGGTTAACCGCAAACATGGCGAGGTTAACTTCTACCTTACGCAGATCCTCTCGGGTCATGGATGCTTTCGGAGCTATTTGAAGCGCTTTGGCCACGAGGAATCTGACGAGTGCCCCTGGTGCGAGCGAGGGCATGTGGAAGACGCCAACCACATTCTTTTCGAATGTGGACGGTTCCTGGAGGAGAGGCGTCGTCTGGAAGAGGCAGTGGGCCGCTCCATCAGAGCGGACAACTTAGTCAACGCCATGCTGGAATCGGAGGAAGCTTGGGAACTAACAAGCACCTTCGCGGCCACAGTGATGATGGAGCTCCGCAGAGTCGAGCGACTGAGAAGACGAGCTGTCCCAGGCTAAGGTAGTGCATAGTGCTTGCGAAGCAATGCTTTACGGCCGTCCCGCAAGCACCGCGCGCTATCCTAGCCATCACGCAACTTGCAATTTGTTTAATTTTGTCAATAAATGAATATAAAAAAACACAAGCATAAACACGCATGGGCGGCAGTGAGCGCTTACTATGAGAACTTAATTGCTTAATAACTTTTGTGGACGTACGATCTTCATGAAACTTTCAGATTATGATTATAACATGGAGATGCATGTAATTGCTAAAGGACAAGTCTCTAGTATTTGAAATACTTTTTTACAAATGTGATGGTGAGGGGGTGAATTAGAGGTGGGGGGTAAATTTTAACAAAAACCGAAATTGTATAAATTGCATATAAGCATACATAAAAAATTTGGAGACTGTCCGTCTGTCCGTCCGTCCGTCTGTCCGTATGTATGAACGCGTCGATTTCAGAAGATATAAGAGCTAGAGACTTCAAATTTTTATTAAAATGTCCGTAATTACGGCGCGGATATCAAGTTTATCATTAAAAATCAATAACTCATCCCGTTCTTTTTTTATCGATAAAAACCCTTATCGAAAACCAGTTATAAAATTATATCTTCTACACCTTTATTGCTAGAGTCTCCAAATTTTTAATGTATGCTTATATGCAATTTATACAATTTCGGTTTTTGTTAAAATATACCCCCACCTCTAAATTCACCCCCTCACCCTCACTTTTGTAAAAAGCGTATTTCAAATACTAGAGACTTGTGCTTTGGCAATTATGCATATTCATTTTATAATCATAATCTGAAAGTTTCATAAAGATCGTACGTCCATAAATAAAGTTATTAAACAATTAAGTTCTCATAGTAAGCGCACACTGCAGCCCATGCGTGTTTATGCGTGGGTGCTTGTGTGTGAATGTGTTTGTGTATGTGTATGTATGTGTTTGTGTATGTGTGTGTGTGTTTGTGTGTGTGTGTGTGTGTATGTGAGTGTGTGTATGCGTTTGTGTCTGTATGCGTGTGTGTGTATGTATGCCTGTGTGTGCGTACGTGCGTGTGTGTGTGTGTGCGTGTTTCTTGTGTAAGCTGAAAGACGCGAAAAATTATTGAAATATCTATTGCTCCAAGGGTTCAGGGGACCTCGTAGTCGAGTAGTCTCGACTAGAGCTTTCTTACTTGTTTGTGTTTGTTTTTACTGCAATTTTTGCTTTAAATATCGATAGCTTCCTCCGTTATTTTGTTATCGATTAAAAACATTATCGAAAACCAGTAATAAATTTATATCTGCTACATCTTTAAAGCTAGACCCTCCAAATTTTTTTTGTATACTTGTATGCATTTTATACAATTTCGGTTTTTGTCACATTTTAACCCCTCACCCTCACGTTTGTAAAAGGCGTATTTCAAATACTAGGGACTTGTGCTTTGGCAAATACATGCATATCTATGTTATATTCATAATCTGCAAGTTTCATGAATATAGTCCATCCACAAGAAAAGATATTAAACAATTAACTTCCCATAGTAAGCCAACACTGCAGCCAATGCGTGTTTATGCGTGTATGTGTGAAAATGCGAATATTTATTGAAATATAAGTTGCTCGAAGGGTTCAGGGGATCTCCTAGTGGAGCATTCCCGACTAGAGCTTTCTTACTTGTTATGGATTATATTTTTGTTCGAAAATTGACACACAATTATCAAGCTCAATAAAATCAATTTTCTCCTCGGCAGTGCACGAATTGTTTATGCTAATAATATTCAAGTACTTTGGAAGGTCTTTAAATAATATCATAAAGTACTTGTTTAATTTTAAATAATGCCAAATTTCTCGCCAGCAGCTTGTTTATAATATTTCCTGCATTTGGCAGTAAAAGGTTAAGTTGGCAGCCTGCTTCTCGCAAAAAGTTGTTGATCTCACGACATTAATGATTAATGAACACAAGATCTAGTGTGCGATTTAGATGGTTAGAAATAGAGTTCGTCTTAAATATAGACAGGTTAAAAAATTCATCAAAAAGATGATGGATGTCGGAATCAAGTAATTCGTATTACAAGATGAGGAGTAAGAAGTTTTATGTAGAAAGAAAATATTTCAACCGTTTATCTCGAATGGTAAGTAACGAATCGCTTTATTAAATTTTAAAACGTATGGTCTGCCTAAATACATAATGTTTATATGTATGAAGAGTTCTGTCGCTACAAAACGCGTGGCAAAACGCGATTATATAGCAATCCGGGTGTGTGTATGTATATATGTATGTATGTTTGTATGTACATGCAGAAGGCATATACATACATACATATGTACATTTAAATGCTTAAGCTTACGTTGCAAATCCCACGCTGAAGGCCAATCCATACATATTACGGAACTATATATATATGTATATATATATAAACAAAGTTTTAAGAAATTTTCAAGTATTGGGGAAACAAACGCATGGTGTATCAAGGATGCTAAGGGAATGAAATCAGAGTAGAAGCTTGAAACTTAGATTAAAATATCGGTGGAGAGTCGAGCAATTGGACAAATGGTAACTATAAATTTTCAAAGCCCCGACCTGGACGACGACAGGAAAAACTCATATTTTACAACTGGTGCCGTTAACTCTGAGATTAGCCGCTCACAAAATTCGCCTTGATTTTGAAGAATGATTCATTTTCGATGGTACTGTTCACCGCGTCTGGAAAAACCCCGACTATAAGTCGTGTTACACGTCAGAGGTCGCACATATCAAAGATCAGCATATCTTTATTTATTTATATCACGTAATCATAAGTTGATGGGAGAAAATACAAGCAATCTCATGTGTTCTTTGAGAATGTAATACTTTAAATCTTTTATCGTCACGTTCAATCTCCGTGACACACAGAAATTAACTGGTGAGTAAATAACAAGTAAGAGTACACTAGTCGAGACTGCTCGACTAGGAGATACTCTGAACCCTCAAGCTGATATTCTAGTCATTCTGCACTTCTTTTACACATATGTATGTACATACACATGCACGTATAAGAACGCGCTCTACTAACTGCGAGGTAAGCAGCGACTGCGTGTGGCAATATTATGAAAATTTACTTGTTGAATAATTGCCCTTGTTGTTGGACTTTCTTAATTTTTAAATGTATGTATGTAAATTAGAAAATCTTTGTACCCATCAAATGTATATACAAACACAATAAATCTTAAGTCTCCAGGACTAATAGTGCTCAAATTATGCTGAACAAACGAAATCAATTTATCGATTATTCTCGACAAATAAGATATTGGGTGAGTTTTCGAATAGTAAAGATAAACTCGTATTGCGTATGGTATATACACGTGTACGTGAAAGCATTCCAAATTTCAAGTCTCTAGGTCTTATAGCTTCTGAGATCTAAGCGTTCATACGGACGGACGGGCGGAATCTGCGATGATTCCTTCTGCCTGTTACATACTTTTCACCAGACCATTATACCCTAAAATCCCAATTTTCTGAACCCATTTTCAATGGGAAATCAGGGTATAATAGTTTTCTTAAAAGCATGTAACAGGTTGAAGAAGGCGTGGAAAGCTCCAAAATGTAAATATGTTCTCGATCATGGCGACGAGCTGAGTCGATTTTCACCGACGAAAAAATGCGCTGAGGAGACTACACAACTTCGTATTTGCTCGGCTCAGTCTCTTGAGGCTCAAGCAGTGAAAATATTGCACGACAAAATCAGTATGCTGCAAGCGCTCAAACGAAATGGCGCCATTCTTATATGAAGCACGGCTATGCGCTATTTGTCCTACTCTCTCTCTCTCACTCTATCTCTCTCTCTATGAAAATTGTTCGCGACGATCCCAGCTCTTTCCTTTTGACTGAAGGGTATACCGAAATCATAAAAGCGTTTGTCACGCTCATGCAAACAACATGTAAGCGTTTCGATGGTTATTCGTGGGAAGGAAAGCGTTGATACGCATAAAGAATATGATTTCGCGACGGGCAAGCACCCACACACTTGCAGTCTCTGGAAACATGTGTGAGCATTTGTGGCCTGTGTGCGTAACATTTGCTGCCTGAGCAAATTGTAATGCCCAAAATTTACCGTTGATTGGCCTTTGAATGATCACATACATTTGCATACATATGTGTATGTATGTATGAGATGGGATAATAATTGTCTGGCGATTCATTAGTTTGTCAATTTTGTATTGTTTGAATTGTAGAGTGACTGTCATTTGTTCTAGAAAAAATTTGTTCTAGATGTCTAGTCTATGTGTTCTCTGGTTAGTGGTCCGAGTATGTCACGCGCATATCAAGTTTTTCTCTAAATATCGATAACTACTCCCGATATTTTATTATCGATTGAAAACTTTATCGAAAGCTAGTTATTTAATTATATCTGCCAGTGCTGCAAAACCATCGATGGACCGTCCATCGATTTTGTTTGAGTCCGATGGATTAAAACATCGATAGTATCGATGGTTCCATCGAAAATAGCTCCATCATTCAAAAATTATTGAAAATTCATAGAAAAAAATCAACTTTATAAACATTTATACTTAGTAAGTTCAAAACAATTCATGATTTTTCGTCTTAATTCATAAAAATAATATTTGTATTCCAGTTCATCACAAAACAGTCAATCCTAAAAATAAACTTTGGTTCATATATATCTTATATCTAAAAAACAAAAAGTTCGACTGTAATTAACAAGTCTTAAAATTTAACTTAAAATTAAAAAACAAAGCTTGACTATCTTTCACAAAAGTCTTGAGCTTAAAACTAAAATTAATTATCGTGAGATCCATTATGTGCACGCTTTAAATGCTCTTGCATATTTGATGTGTTCCCGCTCGTTTTATAATGCTGCCCACACAACAGGCATTTCACAAAGTTTTTTTCTTGGCATTTTTCGAAAAACTTCCATACTTGAGATTTCTCAAGGCGCAATATTTTCAGTGTGTACCGTAACAGCAAATGAAGATTCCTTATTGGCGTCTGCAGGCGAAGAAGCACATTTATCTAAAATCCAAAACAATTAGAAAAAACGTGTTTGCTATTAATTGTATGAATCTTACCAGATGGGATCAAAAAATTTTCCATTTTCCGTGGAGGAACCGCCAACAATTAAATAATGTGGTAAATAGTTATCTATGTGCTATATGTTAAAAAATAAATCAAATTGTTTGTGTAAAATAGATTCTAATGTTAATAATAATTTGAGTATCCACGTATGAACTTACTTGTGGCTTGGCGTCTGTAGCGATCTATCGTCCATCGATCTATCTAACAAAAGAAAGTCCATCGATACTATCGATATTTCCATCGATGGATTTGCAGCACTACATACTATACACATTGTGTATGTGTGTGTATGTATGCCTGTGCGTGCGTACGTGCGTGCGTGTGTGTGTGTGTGTGTGCGTGTTTCTTGTGTAAGCTGAAAGACGCGAAAAATTATTGAAATAGCTATTACTCCAAGGGTTCAGGGGATCTCGTAGTCGAGTAGTCTCGACTAGAGCTTTCTTACTTGTTTTCTCATGGTCAATTGTACGTGGCATGCTCACGTGTTGGCAAACCATCCGCATTATTTGTTCTTGCACTTGACCAAAAAACGAAGAATGTCGTTTACCACAAGGTGCTTGAATGAAAATCCGATTAATAAATTAATCAGAGTGTATCCCAACCTGAGCAACATAGCTTTCAACAATTTTTTTAACTAGAAATAATGGATAGGGCAATGCAACGTTTGCAGGGCCAGCTAGTAATAAGAATAGAACACAGAAAGTTCGTAGGGATAGACTAAAAAAGATTTAAAAATCAATGTTTTTCTTTCATTTTTTCAAAAATTCCAACCAAACTTTTGGTTGTTTGATTGCTTTAAACCTGTATATTGGTATAATAAAACACAAAAGAACGTACGATCTTCATGAAACTTTTAGATTATGATTATAACATGGATATGCATGTAATTGCTAAAGCACAAGTCTCTAGTATTTGAAATACGCTTTTTACAAAAGTGAAGGTGAGGGGGTGAATTTAAGGGGGGTAAATTTTAACCAAAAACCGAAATTGTATAAATTTCATATAATAATACCCCATTTTCAATGGGAAATCAGGATATAATGGTTTTGTTGAAATGTATGTAACAAGGAGAAGGAGTATATATATTCTTAATCAGGGCGACGAGCTGTCGATTTGGCCCTGTCCGTCTGTCCGTATGTATGAACGCGTCGAGTTAAGAAGATATAAGAGCTAGAGACTTCAAATTTTTTTTTAAATGTCCGTAATCGAGCTTATCATTAAAAATCGATAACTCATCCCGATCTTTTTTTATCGATAAAAAACCTTATCGAAACCCAGTTATAAAATTATATCTGCTACACCTTTAGAGCTAGAGCTTCCAAATTTTAAATGTAGAGTTTTGTAAAAATTTACGCCCCAGCACTCTATTCACCCCCTCACCCTCACCTTTGTAAAAGGCGTATTTCAAGTACTAGAGTCTTGTGCTTTGGCAAATGCATACATATCCCCATGTTATATCATAATCTGAAGAGAGTACATCCACAAGAAAAGTTATTAAACAATTAAGTTCTCATAGTAAGCGCACACTGCAGTCCATGCGTGCTTAGGTGTGGGTGCTTGTGTGCGCGTGTGTGTGTGTGTGTTTTTTTTTTTTTTTTTTTTTTTTTTTTTTTTTATATTCATTTATTGACAAAATAAAAATTGCAAGTTGTGTGGTGGCTAGGATAGCGCGCGGTGCTTGCGGGACGGCCGTAAAGCATTGCTTCGCAAGCACTATGCGCTACCTTAGCCTGGGACAGCTCGTCTTCTCAGTCGCTCGACTCTGCGGAGCTCCATCATCACTGTGGCCGCGAAGGTGCTTGTTAGTTCCCAAGCTTCCTCCGATTCCAGCATGGCGTTGACTAAGTTGTCCGCTCTGATGGAGCGGCCCACTGCCTCTTCCAGACGACGCCTCTCCTCCAGGAACCGTCCACATTCGAAAAGAATGTGGTTGGCGTCTTCCACATGCCCTCGCTCGCACCAGGGGCACTCGTCAGATTCCTCGTGGCCAAAGCGCTTCAAATAGCTCCGAAAGCATCCATGACCCGAGAGGATCTGCGTAAGGTAGAAGTTAACCTCGCCATGTTTGCGGTTAACCCATGGTTCAAGCTCCGGGATGAGCTTGTGCGTCCACCGCCCTTTAGCTGAGCTATTCCACCTTCTTTGCCATCGTGCGATGCTGTTCGCTCTGATAGCGTTGAGACGCGCAGGCGCGTGCGAATTCCGCTCCACGGCTTCGGCGACCAAGTACTCCAGTGGTACCATACCAGCTATGACGAGCGCCGCGTCATCGGAGATAGTCCTGAAAGCGCAGCAGACTCTGATTGCGCTCAGTCTGTAGATCGCGCAAATGCCCCGGCTGTAGCTCGGCGTTGCCATCGCTCTTGCCCATATTGGCGCAGCATAGAGGATGACGGACCTAATGACGCTCATTAGAAGGAGACGTCGTTGCTGTTTTGGTCCCCGCGTGTTAAGCATAATTCTCGAGAGAGCTCTACAAGAATCAGCAGCTCTTTTATGCACATACTCTAAGTGCTCGCGGAAAGTTAATCTTGTGTCTATCATGACGCCAAGATACTTTATCGCCCTCTTTGACGCAATGGTGACGCTGCCGATCTTTATATTGTCAGTTTCCACTCTTTTGCGACTGCTGACTAGGACAACTTCAGTTTTGTGTGCCGCTAGCTCGAGCCCAGCTCCAGTCAACCAGCTTCGTATGCGATTGATACTTTCGCTGCACATATCCTCTGTATCTTTGAGCTCCTTTCCTATGGCTACGACAGCTACATCATCAGCAAAGCCAATGGTGTGCGCACCTGCTGGTAGTTCCAAGCGTAGTACATGATATTCCATAGGAGAGGCCCCAGCACTGAGCCTTGGTGTACTCCAGCTGACACTGTATGAGTTTGGGGACCCTCACTCGTATTGTATACCAGTGTTCTTCCTCTGAAGTAGCTCTTTATTGTTTCTTTAAGATATTTAGGGATATTATATTGTGACAGCGCATTCAGTATCATATCCCAACTAACTGTATTGGAGGCATTCTTTACGTCCAGGGTCGCAATAATGCAGTATTGCTTCGTCCCATGCTTCCATCTTGTGCCATGGATGGCGGAAGTGGCCAGACCAACAACTTTGTTTAGCGCATCCGTTGTTGACCGGGCCTTCCGGAATCCAAATTGATTTGGTGACAGGCCTCCGGCGCTAGTAATCGCAGTCTCCAGTCTAGAGCAGATCAATTTCTCAAACACCTTTCCCATGGTGTCTAAGAGACAGATCGGTCTGTATGAAGATGGCTCATCTGGCGGTTTGCCGGCCTTGGGTAGCAACACCAGGTTCTGGGCTTTCCATTTTGCCGGGAACGTCTCTTGAATTAGACATTCGTTAAATAATTCTGCGAACGTACTTGGGTGCAAGGCGAGGGCTAGCTTTAGCGCACGATTTGGGATCCCGTCCGGCCCTGGAGCAGTGTTGGTTCTAAGACCCCGGAAAGTTATTATGATTTCTTCTTCTGTGACTAAAACAATTTAGTAGGCTGCACCTGTCTACCTGCGTATAGTCTTTTAACTACTATCTTATATGCCCTGCCCCAAGGGTCATATTCGGCTGAGTCGCACAACTCTAAAAAGCATTCTCTTTTGCTTGCCCGAATGGCCTTCTTCAGCTGTCTTCTAGCTGCCTGGTAAGCTAACTGTTTCTCAAAAAACGTAGACCTACCGCGAGCCCTTTGGTAGCTTCTTCTCGCCTGGATGCATTTGCGACGAATGTCACCTATTTGTGCATTCCACCAATACGTAGGCTCTTGTTGCCGCGTGAACTGCTTGCGGCGTAACATGCTGCTATTGCAGGCACTCTGTATTTGGGCCACCATTTGGCATGCTCTGGCCTCAGCATTACCAATTGTGCCCAGAAACTGAATGGCCTCTGAAAAGACCGCGGGATCAAAAGTATCTAGCCGATACGACTCCCTCCAGGGCGTCAGCCCTGGCAGGTGGCTCACCTGTTGTGAATAGAAGTGCCGAAATGATCGCTGCCCGTATAGCTATCGCAATGGCTCCATGTTGCTCCCCGAAAGAGGGATGAAGTGACAAAAGTAATGTCGATAATAGATCCGTATCCCGCCCGACTGAAGGTGTACTCGAGGCCAGTGTTGAGCAGTGCAACATCTAGTGTCGCGAAGATCTCCAGTAGGATACGACCTCTGGCATTTGTTGTGAGGCTACCCCATTCTAACGCCCAGGAGTTAAAATCTCCAGCTATAATGGCCTTCCGACCCCTAGCATCCTCGGCAAGCTCGTCGAGCACCGTCGTGAATTCATTGAGCTGCATGCTGGGGGCCAGATAGCAACTGTAAAGCCATAAGTTGCCATATCGGCTACGTACGAACCCATTGAATGACTTAACATTCGAAAGTACGTTCGTTGAGTTGCCGCATACCCACAACGCAGCTTTGCCATTAACGTCTGTTGACCATGTCCTAGGGCAGCTGGTTATACAGTGGTGAGGCTCACTGAGAAAAGCTACGTCTATACATTTTTCCCTAATGGTCTGCTCTAGAAGATCTTGGGCAGCAATACAATGATTTAAGTTAAGCTGCAAGAACCTTAACATTTCATTTTACGAGCAGCTTCACGGTAGGATGGGCACTTGAAGCTGCCTGCTGAATGGTCCGTCTGCTTTTCTCCTTTCCGGATGCAGAGGCTACATTTTGGTGGCTTGGTGCATGCTTTTGCACTGTGACCTATCTCTCCATACCTGAAACAGGCGCCTTTTAGGACAGTTTGCTGCCATATGACCGTAATCGAGGCACTTAAAACAGCGTTTAGGCTGTTCCACAGCTCGGATACGGCATACTACCCAACCTATTCTAATTTTGGACAGCTCGAGCAGAGTTTTAGCTTTCCCAATTGGAAGAGCAACAGTAGCTCTTTGCTGTCCACCAAAAGCTGGCCGAAGCTATTTGATAGCCTCAATGTGTATGTGTGTGGGTGCGTGTGTGTGTGTGTGTGTATGTATGTATGTGTGTGTATGTGTGTGTGTGTGTGTGTGTGTGCGTGTGCGTGTGTCATGTGTAAGCTGAAAGACGTGAAAAATGATTCAAATAGTTATTGCTCGAAGGGTTCAGGGGATCTCATAGTCGAGCAGTCTCGACTAGAGCTTTCTTACTTCTTTTTAAATACACCGAAATTGAAATTTTAACCATTTGGTTATTTTAGGAGATTCTTTTAATCACATCAGCAATTAGTTTGGTTTAGTTTTGCTAGATGGCGCTGCAGCAGTGAATCTATTTCTGTCTTGCAAGCGCAGCTTGCAAAAG